CCGTATTGCGATTTTCCCTGGGCAGGAGAATCAGTCACGTGGGGAGGGCGCGGGTGAGCAATTATCACGGTGACAGTGAGCCAGTTTGCCGAGCAATCGTCACACCAGCATCGAGCACGGATGACGAAATCGCGGCAATTAACAACTCGGACTCGGACCGCCAAGCCACCGCCGCATCAATTACGACCCCAGCGGCGATTGTGAGAACTGTTAATTGCAGTGCGCATACGGTCCCACGGCAGCCACGTGCTATAAATACTGCATTCCTGGTGCCACCTTTACCTCTATCTGCGAATGTCTCTGATGATGGGCTCGAGTGAGAACCCGAAACGTCAGGCCAATAAACTTCTTGTCCCAGTGATCGCATCTTCATCTTCTGAACTGCTACCTGGGACTCGCCTGTTCGCTTCTATCAGCAATCTTTTTGGGCGCGAAGCGCTCCGATCGGCTCGACGGTGGGAAACCTTTGCCCTTCGAGAGTCGTCAACATATGCGCAGATTCGATTTCTGCACAGGTGTCTCGACAACAATGTGCTGCCGAAGTGCGTTTCATACAAACCTCCGGTCAACACAGAGCTGGCGAGACGCGCAGTACTTCAGCACGGCCGACGAATGATCCGAGTGCTCCTTCAAGACTGTCACTCACGGATTCGCAAATACCGTCAGAGGATTGACCAAGAGAAGGCAAGGTGCTGCGAGTTCATGGGCGAGGACGGCATAAAACTGCTTCAGCAGAGGCTGGCCGAACGAACCCGCGAACATAAAGCAACGCGAGAAGCAGCCCTAGAGAGCAAATTTCGTAAGCTGCCTGCTCCAATGTCATCCAAGAACGACAAACTGGTGCACAACTTGTCGTCAAAGGAGCTGACGGAGGAACAAATGCAGGTTTTACGGCATGAGGCCTCATTCAACACAGCCGATGCCAAACCTGCCAACATGATCGCAGCAGTGGAATCAATCCTCAGCCAGACGGGAGCGACAGACGAAACGAAGAACCTCATTCGACACCAAGTGTCCTCCCTCCTCATGGCTCATAGGCCGCGCGATGTGCTTTCCAAGGTCGAGCGTGATGCACTTAAAGAACTCAGGGCCGACAACGACCTCGTTATCGTGCCTGCGGACAAGGGGCGTTCAACGGTCGTATTGGACAGGACAGACTACAATCAAAAAGCCAAAAGCTTGTTGGATGATCGTCAGTCCTATGTGCCATGCGAATCCAACCCCATGAAAACGCTGACACGCGAGATTAACGCGACGCTGTTGGCAATGGAGAACTCAGGTGCAATATCGCCAATCGACCGACGCATGGCGAGAGCACAAGAAACGGCCCTAGCCCGATTCTACGGTCTCCCAAAAGTGCACAAAGAGGGCGCTCCTCTCCGGCCTATCGTGTCACTAAAGGGCACTCCAACCTACGGACTGGCAAAGTGGCTGTTCCAACGTCTCAAGTTTCTGACCTCCGATTCGAACACCACAGTCAGCTCGTCAACGCAATTCTTGGAGAAACTTAAAGGAGTAAGTCTCCTGCCAAGCGATATCATGGTTTCCTTTGATGTCACGTCCCTTTTTACTTCTATCCCGCAGGACCTGGCAGTCGAGACAATCGAACTACTCCTACGAGAGAAGTACGACGAAACGGAGAATCGCCTCGGACACGCCCAAATCATCCAGCTCCTGAAGTTCTGTCTCAAGACGTACTTTACATTCGACGGAACAATCTACGAGCAGGTGAAGGGAACGCCAATGGGTTCGCCGATTTCGGGACTCATAGCCGAGGCGGTCCTTCAACGGCTGGAGTCGCTGGTTTTCCGACACCACAGACCGAAATTCTGGGCTCGGTATGTGGATGACACCTTCGTCGTCATCGAACGGGATCAGGTGCTGACTTTCAAAGAACAACTCAACGCCGTCTTCCCGGACATTCAATTTACGATGGAGGAGGAGGAAAACAATCAGCTGGCCTTCCTGGATGTCCTCGTCTGCCGCAAAGATTGTGGTGGCCTAAAAACCAAAGTGTTCAGGAAAGCGACAAATACGACGCAAATACTGAACTTCAATAGCAACCACCCGATCAGTCACAAACGCAGTTGCGTAAGGGCGCTATATCGGCGTGTTGAGACGCACTGCACTGAAATGGAAGACAAGGTTGCTAAATTAAAATATCTTCGACGGGTAATGAGAGCCAATGGCTACCCGCGCAACTTTGCCAACCAGTGCATACGAAAAGGACACCAGAGACGAAATCCAACTAGCCCCAAATTTTGGCGGGCTCTTCCGTACGTGAAGAACGTCTCGGAAGCCGTCAGTCGTCTTCTCACTCCACTTGGAGTTGGGGTTGCACACAGGCCGGAAGCAACCATTAGACGCCAAGTAATGAGGCCAAAAGACCCGCTGCCACGGCAGGAAACGTCTGGAGTCGTTTACCGGATCTGGTGTAGTTGCGGACAAAGCAATTATGTCGGAGAAACTGGGAGATTACTCCGTACGCGACTTGCCGAGCACGCAGCAGCAGTGAGGCGGGGAGACGCTAACTCTCAGGTGGCAGCACACTCGACGGGACCCGGCCATATTATCAAATTTCAAGAGGCCGAAATCCTCGCAAGGGGTGACAACCGCGTGAGCCGCGAGCTGCTCGAGTCATGGTTCTCAGGCCCGCAATCCATCAACAAACACAATGACCTCCCGGTGGCCTATTCCGTATTGCGATTTTCCCTGGGCAGGAGAATCAGTCACGTGGGGAGGGCGCGGGTGAGCAATTATCACGGTGACAGTGAGCCAGTTTGCCGAGCAATCGTCACACCAGCATCGAGAACGGATCACGAAATCGCGGCCATTAACAACTCGGACTCAGACCGCCAAGCCACCGCCGCATCAATTACGACCCCAGCGGCGATTGTGATAACTGTTAATTGCAGTGCGCATACGGTCCCACGGCAGCCACGTGCTATAAATACTGCACTCCTGGTGCCACCTTCACCTCTATCTGCGAATGTCTCTGATGATGGATTCGAGTGAGAATCCGAAACGTCAGGCAAATAAACTTCTTGTCCCAGTGATCGCATCTTCATTTTCTGAACTGCTACCTGGGACTCGCCTGTTCGCTTCTATCAGCACCCCGTGAATGTTGGCATTTGTTATTGCTCAAAGATAACGCCTGCCAGTGTCCGATGTTGCCCCCGTGTTGGTCCAGCGCATCTAACACGCGGCCCGTGTGGGGGACACACACATTATGTACTTTGATTCAACACTGGAGGAAAGAAACCGAATACATACAGCCATGACATCCTGTCAGAAGGCAGTAATTTCCTTCTGGTCCATCACTTCCGTTTGGCCAAATCTTTGTTTGTACCTCGACCAGTTGCGTCAAAGGCCACAAAATGACAGAGGTGAGTTCGAAAATCTCATCATAAGGCGTTTGAGAGGAATTCGCACTCCCATCGCAAATCTTCTGACTCAGACTGAAGAAGTAGAAGTCATAGTAGTCGTAAAAGTTGTCGCCTTCCCTTGAGAATCTGTAGGTAATGTTGGGCAACACCGGGACATCCACGGGTTCATCCATCAAGGGTTGGAAGAAATCCGCATCTTTCGGCAGAACTCCGCCGTTTGCCCTCAAGTTCAGGTAGGTAAGTCTGATTGCCATTGCGACTGCTGATGCAGCTGAAACCATTATCTTCTGCGAAATAACAAATGCTTATTTGAGCTATAAAATATATATTGATGCATACAGTTAAGCAGCAGTTTAAATTCAATATACTTCTATGAAAATACTAACCTACACTCGAGCGCTGTGTTATCTAAAATTCCTTGTTTCTCCATCCTCTGCTCAAGATTTCTGAGGAATTTAGTCCTTTATAACGCCTTATCTACCCGATGCTACGTGGTAACGTGAATACCTCAACCTTAAAATGCACCACCATTAAAACTTGAAACCGTTTTGCTTTTGCTGTAGCACCTTTCTGACGGATTTACGAACTTCCGGTGGCCATAAGACGGTGGGGGATTCGTCAACGTCGGAAGTCCGGGGAGGATTCGTTGCACTTAGCTCAATTGGCCACAGTCGTTGACCAATGTGTCGGGCAAGCTGATACTATCAATGACCTCAAATCGATATAGATAAGGGTAGGGTGAAAGTAGATTAAACGGAGACGAAAGCCGTTATCCACGTTGAAAATATAGGCGGGGAGTTAAATGAAAACGGAGAAGTACTGGTTTGATTTTCTGAGTTTTTGGCCTTTGTCACCAATTATCTGTCTTCATGCGTTCATCCAACCTGAGAGCGACCTATAAACTGTACGAATAAAAGCGTGGAAAATAATTCGATCATAGGTTATTCCTCTTGGCTAGTTCGAGTCAGTGATGTAGTTTGAAGGTAGAAACCCTGTTGACCATACCGGACACCGATCTAACGTATGAAGCAGCCGTCAACTTGTCTCACTCGATTTGCACTGGCACTTACAGAATCTAAAATGCCTGACGAGACATCGTACCCAGCGCCGGTGGGTAGGGCACTCATAATGATAAGACTCTGACAGGCAGCTCCGAGGACGGACGAATTTGAGAGCACCAATCTCCAAAAGCGTAGGACATCGTAGGTTATAGCACTGGAGGGGTCGAGTTGAATGATAGCGATGCGACCCTCTCGAATTGGTGCCATATTTGAGACAGCAGAGAGGAAGAAAGCGGCCATAGGTGGCCTGGCTATCAGTAAAATGGCTTTAAAAGGGAAAGATGAGGAAATCATTTTTTTCGTGCATTAAAATGCATCAAATAAACCGTAAGTATGCCCTCGTTCCAATAACTCTCTCCCAAATACAACTGTAGTTGATGCGTTTACATTTAAATATTCTGCTTCCCTGAAGTGGACAATCAGTGGTTTTTGCCGAAAGTAGCTATAACACGTGTCCAAAAGGTGGAGTAGTGTTTCTTCATGTTAAAGTCACTGGGTTGTCATTAACGGAGAAGTGGCAAGCGGTATCTTTTGGCCGGGGAATTTGCGGCTTAGACTTTTCGGCAGCAAACACATGACAGATCTGTTTGCGCCATTATTTTATTTACTTCGATACTGCTTCGGAGTCAGCGATAGTCACAGTGTACGGATTTTGTGACTGGATGGAAGGTGTTAGTAACTATAGCGTCCCATCAAGTACTCCAGATTTACAAACGCCCTCCATCACGCCTACGTTGTTTCAACGACTCTAACCTGATTATCAGGCGCTCAAGTAAGCTATTTTAATGGAAGACTAAATTTTAATGCACATTTTAAAGCCCTCCACTGTGTTCACGTTGTCCATAAAAACCAGGAGGAAAAGCGTGGGGAGGGCGTGAGCAAATTGCCTTAAATCTGCCGATTTCGAAATTGGCTGACGCCCTAACATAAAGCATTAAAGTGTGGTTGAAATGAAATCATCAAATAAAAACTATGCACTAAAAGGCAATTAGTATCTGGAGAGAGTTTTGAAAATAAAACCCCATTCCAGCTCCGTATTTTACAAAATGTTGCGTATATTTTATGACTAGGAAAAGTAATCTCTTTATGTTATTTAAGTAGTAGTTTTAATTTAAACTTTTGCCTCAGTTGTGAGTTTAGAGCTACTAA